CCATCGCAATGACAATGGGGAGACCCATGCCGGGGTTACGCAGCCGGAGCTGTTTACTGCGATGGCAACGAATCACAAACTCTTTCTCACATCGGGCAAATTATTGCCTTTGCCAAATGATATCAGGAAAGACAGGTGCCTCCAAAATTCAGGCATCAGAGTATTGCGTTATCCTCTGCTCGTTTAGGAGAGAAGCTCACAAAGCATCTAAAATGAATTACGAATGTTTTAATCTCCTCCAGGAATTTCCCTTGGGTTAACGTTGCCGTTGCTGCATAATAGAGTGAAATCAGCTACTTTGGCATCTCTTCAGTGAATGGCAACTCCAGCCAAATTATGTCAGGGTATAATTAGATCAGGAGCTAACAGCAGCTCCTATGCTTTGCTTGGCTGTGACTCTTACACTTTCCTTCTTACAGGCAGATGAAGCCTTGCTGCCACAGAAGTGGATGAGCTTTACATATTCAGCTGCCCGTGGTGGCATCCGAGTCTGCTCTTTTTCCATTTCTTTCAGATAGGCTTGCATTTTCAGCATTCAGGATAAACCCTTCCCAGCAACGTGAGAAGCGGGAGATATTTTCTGCGGTGTGAGAAGGAGAAGCGAAGGTTTGAAAGCAGGAAAGCTCTGAGGCTGCAATAGCAGTTTGCCAGTCGGGTGTTTTCCAGCTACATTTTAGTAGATGAGGAGTCAGTGCATCAGGAGTGGGCTCCTCAGAGCCCCTGCCAGTTGTAAGGAGGATATGTAAGAACACAGAAGTGGATGAAGCTGGAGGTCTGACCAGCCCAGTGTCCTGCCTCTCTTCCTGAGCTGGACACTGCTGTATTGTCACAAGCAGACCCATCCCTGTTAAACTGCCTCTTTTTTGACTGCTTTCTGGTTCTGGCCTCCACAAGGCCATGTGGAAATGAATTCCACTATCACATCTGGCACAGTTTGAGTCCCCTTGCCTGTATCGGTAGAATCCATTTTAAGAAGCTTTGTTTGCTTCACCATGCAGATAAACCAAGGCTGAACCTGAGCAGGAGCAGCACTAGAACTGCAAGGACTCTGTGTGTGAAGGCTCTTTGGTGGCTGTTTCAGACATTCCTAAGGGCAGTAACAGGTACTGCAGGGCAGGCATGGCTGGGTGCGTTCTGGTGTAAGCTGAGCTGTCAAAGTGAAGGAGCACTTTTCTTCCATTGGTTTTGAGCAACTGCATGACCACTTGAGTGCTTTCCTGGATTTTGTATTATAGGAAGTAATGAGTAATTATCATGTATTCTGCTTAATATTAATAATTTAATTAATCCTTGTCATATCAACCCTCTGTTTATGTTTTAAGGAAAAGAGCCTTAACTTATGCTCTCCTCATATGGATGCTGACCACTTCTAACACCTTTTTTATACAGAAATATCTTATGATCATATCTCACAGGTCTCATTATCTCAGTCTGGGAAGAAAGCAGAGATACATGGACATTTTAAATCCTCTGGACCAGCAAGTGTAAGGCTGCTGCTTAACACTGTGATCCAACTGCTGTGCTTCTGCTGCATCGTACCTGCCCATCACTGACAGCAATACCACTAGGCCAGTGTGATGCCAAAGCTAAGATATAAAACCTGTTTTATCAGGATTCCTAATACTTTCAGAGCTGCCCCTCAACTCTGCTTCATTCTGTCTCCAGAATCTGTAGCTTTTAATTTGTCCCTTGAGTAAGATTTGTCTCAAAGGACATGTTAAAAAATCACGAGTGGTTTTTTTATAGTCTTCAAACGGGGCCCTTGTCAGTACCAAAACAAATCATGAGCAAACAACAAGGGGGCTGCAGCAATCTGTTCATCCCGTGCAGGGATCCCTGGCACGCTGCGAGCAGGGCTGTGCGGGCGGCCAAGTCACAGCTCCCAGATTTAGCCGAGAAGACAAAGAGCAACGCTTGGCTCTAGGGTTACAGCTGCCACCTGCTGCGCTGGCATCCCTGGGACAGCTGGAGCTGCAATGCTCACCTGTCATCGGCACGGCATCTGCCCAGGGACAGGCATGGCCTCTGCGGCGAGGCATTCTAGGTTTGATTGTCTAGAGCTATCGAAACCACTATCTGGAGAAGTCAAGATAAGTGAGGAACAGTCTGTTGTTTGCACAGGAAGACCTTTGAAACAGTGTTGAAATCCTGCTGTTTATCTGAAAATGTCCTTACACAGAAGGAGACTGAGATAATGAAATCCTACTGTAGCTGTTTGCTGGGATACGTTTTGAAGCAAGGCAATCAAGTTGATTATGAAAAGCGATGAAGCGGAAGGCAATAAGGGCAGCGCATGTTGATGGGGGATGGATGAGCACTTCCCTTGCACGGTTAAAATAAAAAATAAACAAATAAAACTCAGAAGCGTCAACATCTCGTTCCGATCACTTCAGAAGAGAAATAATTTTAGAAGGGGTGGTTTTCTTGTTAAATTTAAGAAGTGACTCATGAGACAAGAATTTATCTCCTCCTGTTTAGTACCTCAAGGCCTAAAAGATAAATATTGACTTAGCCATGGTCAGAGCAGGAAGTTGAGGATATTGCTGTCAGCCACCTCCAAAACACGCGGCTTACAGAGCTGCTCTCTTCACTGCCTTCCCTGTTCGTTACAGTGGCTGCTTTTGGGGCAGAGCAGATGAGGGAGGATGGGCAATAGCTGGGTTGTGAGATATATATTGATATATATTGATAAGATCATTCCTGCCACACGCAGCTTTTCAGTGTAGTCAGAGGCCATGGAGATTTTAAGTTATTCAGGGTGTCTGAGGAAGAGGTGGGCATCGCAGCTGTGGGACAACTTTGCATCTTTAGACACCTACACACATTCTCAAAATCTGGTCCTAGGCTTTCTGCGCCTCAGTTCCCATCTCTCCTCCTGGGGCACCAAGGTGACACATTCATTACGGGCTGGACATGATCAGACCCTGCGGCAGGGAGTCTGCAGAGGGATTTGAAAAGGCTTTCAAATAGGAAATGTGTTTTTTAGCAGCATCTTCTAAGGGCCCCTTCCCTTCCACACAATGCTGCCCATACTGACCCTGTGCTGGGGGTTATGTTTCACAACATGAGCCAAAATGTTGACATTGTGGCATTTGATTATTCCCTGAGCAGCATTACTGGGAATGTTGCTGACACAAGATATGAAGCCCACAGGCAACTCTGAATAAGGGAACTGGCATCAGCCTCTGCAGGGGGGAGTTGATGGGGCAGAACATTACCCCCGAAACAACCCAGCTGGGGCTGCTGCAGCTCCTGTAACTGCAGCATTTCTGTGTGTGTCGGGTTTGATGAGATGGTTTGGACGCAGCTCAAACCACATTCCACAAAACCTTTGATACTGAATGGTATGAAGTTAAGCTTGCACAGTGGAAATGTCCAGCCAAGTTGCTGCCCAGACTGTGCTCATATTCATCCCTTTCATACCCCGTGCCCTGACACCTCTTCACCACCTTCTGACCTCTTGGTTTCTCGTGACACAACCATAGCACTCTGTTCTTACTGATGCTGGAGTTCGGAGCTAAGCCTTTGCCTCTTCACTTCATAAGGCTATAGTTTATTTGCAAAATCACCCCAAAACAAGTGGAACTTTGCCATTAGTCTCAGCTTCCCCCGGCTGAGAAAACACCTAAATGTGCTCATGGGGAGAACAGCTGATTTTTGCTTCTGGTCAGCCTTTCTCCAGCAGTGCTCTTCAAGTCAGTACTTCCCCATACCATTCAAAGCCTTGCTTATTCCTGTAAATGGTTTCAGTTCTCAAAAATCGGTGTCATCAGACACTCACCTTTTTTTTACCACACCAGTGGAAACCAACAGGCTGAACTGTGCTTTCCTATTACTGAAAAATAATTACCTCCCCTATCCCCTGAATAAATACCATTTAGCTTGCTTTTGGTAAAGGTGCAGTGGTAATGGCATTTTGCTCTCATTTTATGTGGTTTTGGTTCATTGCAGCCCTGGAGGTGGTAATGGGAGCAGAGGAGGGCTCTGCAATCCCAGACTCCTCTCCATCGTGCAATGGAGCATGGTCCTCATTGGCAGTGTTAAGGAAGGGTGGGAGGAAGCAGCTCAACACCTCCCTTGTCTATTTGTAGATTATTGAGTGGATGAATTGAGATTAGGGTAAATTGAGATTAGTGTGAATGCAGATTAGTGTGAATTGAGATCAGTGTGAGTTGAGATCAGTGTGAAATGAGATTGAGCGCTGAACCGAGATCATTATGAATCCTCCCATTCCTGCCCACATGGGATGTGATCCTCGCTGCTTCATCCCTGGGGATTTCAAGGGAAGAAGAAAATGCGGGACTATTTCAGAGCAAGAAGTGAACAGCAGCTGAGAAATACATCAGGACTGGGCCAGGACTGCATTAATCTGCTGCGGAGATGGAAAAGGCTTTACTTTTCTGCAGGCATTAAAGAGCACAGCAGGAGAGGGCACATTTAATTTCACAGACTCACTGCAGTAGCAGCTATTCCCACAGCTTCACGACTGCTTTGAAGGCAAAGTCCATTTCATGAAGCAGCCTATTGCTTTGCACAGATCATATATCCAAGGGTAGAACAGCAATATATATTGAATTCTGCACTTGGATTTCTTCAAAGGGTGGCTATATCTTTGACCTGGATCTTTGGTATTGGTAAAGAGCAAATGCAGTTTCTGTCGTGGACTTTGCTAAGTTTTCAGTAAACTGAATGCAGAATTGGAACTTGACTCTTAACTCAGCTTTAAAGTAAACCGATTCATAGGAATTTTGAAGAATATCCCAGAAATAAAGACCTATTATTTAAGTGCAAAGATAAAGAATTGCAGTGCACCGAGACGTATTTATGTAAGTAAAGGTACCAATCTCCACAACAGAGCAATCGCGGAAGCAGTCGGACAGCTCTGCGCCGTGTTCGTACATCCAAGATTAGCTGTGTTTATTTGCATTGCACTGTTTGCAGGGTACGCTACTATTTCATGCAAGCAGACATAATCTGGATTATAATATCACTAAGTCATCCTAATAAAATTCTGTGTTTTCATCCTGATCCAGCAGTACTTTTAAGTCCAAATCTTTGAAGAGCGAAGTGAGACCAGTGCCGTTGTCCCACTCTGAGACAGAGTCTTGGGACACAACATTATTCAGTTTTGTGCTGTTTAGCTTTCCTGATATGAACATTTCTGTTTCCTGAGTCTCTGGGAACTGCAATTTATTTGTAGAGTGTGCGAATGAATCAGGCAAGATCCACCGCTCGGTGTTGCTCTCTCCTGGGAAGCTGCTACCAGTGCTGACTGAGGAAAAGAGAGTGGCTGATAGGGACGACAGGGGTTTGTCCTGTGGCACGTAGTCTGTGTCAGCTGTCACTGACGACAGCAGCAGTGGCAGTTCTGTCTGTCGTCTGTAGCATCCTCCCTGCTCCAGCAAAGACAGGGACAGGGATGCAGGCACTTTGCTTTCCATCCCATCAGTCTGCAGCAGCAGCTGCTGTGTGTGCCCAGGGCTCCCCTGTGCGAGCACCGACTCCCTCGTGTCACTGCTGGGCCACGACACCAAGTCTGGAACTTGCTCTTTGTAATTCCAGTGGCTGCAGCTCTTGCCCAGCATCTGAGTTATGAGCTTCCCAGCAGCAAAACTGTCTGGAGAAACTGCTTTTAACGTTTGATTTGGCTGCAAATCCTTCTTGTCAACCTGCTCCGTGTCTTTGACACACACCCCGTAGGTTAGAGGCAGGGTTTTGCTGGACGTGGCAGTAGGGGCGCTTTGCTTGGCCGTCTGAGGAGCGTAACCAGCAGGAGCTGTGCGTGCCGGGCAGGGAGGATGCGTGGGCAGCTGGAAGGGAGGCACGTCCGTCTGCTGCTGATAGACGGGTTCTGGTGGACGGAAAGACCATGGTGGCTCCAGTGCTCGGTCCAGGTGTTGGCTGATCTGTGGTAGCTGCACTTCAGGGATGAGCAGTGAGGGTTTGCATAAATTAATGGGCTTTATGATATGTTCCACTGTCAGCGTAAGAGGCTGGAACGATGAAATCCCTCTGAAGTCCTGGGGAAGGAGATAGACAAACATGAATTAATAACAAGAAGCTGTGAAGTCTTGCTTTAGAGTCTTTAAACTTTTCCTTGGACAAATATCAGTAAAAGCCAGTAATGACCACCAGGGAGCTGCCCTGTTGATAAGAGAACTCCGTTTTTTTCCTGGGAATGACCCTTCAGAGCACTACAGATGTCTCTCATTATGCATCAGGGCAACTCTGCGATCTTAAAATATGTAAATCAAATTGCCAGTGGGTTGCTTAAAAATTGGAAACCAAAATCTTTAAAAAACTTCTGAAATTTTTAGAAGAAAGAAAATGTCTAAATTTCTGTGGTTTTGAGAGCTGTTCTAACATCGATATGTTCGAAATCTATAGATCCCTGCTCTCCTCTAGGTACCATATTCAGTTTATTTCCTTTAACAGAACAACCAAGGGTCTTCAAACCTGCGGGCATCTTCGCTGTCCGACTTTACAACGCCCTGTAACCAATTTCCTCTCCCAGGACGACCAGATTGAAACTGCAGTGGCTGTCCAGGCAATGCTCCCGTCTGCCCATTCATCCCCCTCAAGTAGCAATGCTCTTTGGGGGCATGCATACAGTCCTGAGAATATTAAAGATTTACTGCACGGGTTTAGGAGCACTTACCAGAGACATGGGCTGTGCACTGTGTTGCTTGACGTATTTATAGATGACGTAGCTGATGGCAGCAAACACCAGCCCGGCACAGAACGCAAGGGCCACGAAACAGTAGAGAAGCCACGAGTGGTCTGGTAGCGGGGAGGAGAACAAGGGGAAAATACAGATTCAGTGACTTGGATTAGAAAAGCTGCATGGCATTACAGAATCACAGAATCACAGAATCAC